AAAAAAGTAATACTTAATTTAGGATAACTATTTTTCTATTAATTTATAAATAATAAAAATATTATTAATATACTTTATAATTAAGATTAATAATTTAAAAGCTAAAGGAATAATAAATAATAGTTTAAAGGTTAGTTTTAAAATTAAACCTAAAATTATATATATAAGCTTTAAAAATAAATAACTAATAGATTAAAACCCTTATAATAAATATATTAATTATAATTAAAGGAATTTTAAAATTTTAAAGGTAAATATATATTTTAAATTAAAATAAATAAGAATAGCTTAATATTTATATTTAAAATTAAACTTAAATATTAATCCTATATATAAATTTAATAACTTATTATAAATATTTATAAAAAGTAAAAAATTTATTTTAAAAAGGTCCTCTTTTACTTTATTATAATTAATAATAAATTTTAACTTTAATTAAAAATTATACATTTTAATATTTAAATTTTTATAAATTAAAATAGGTATAGTTATTTAATTTAATAGTTCCCCGTTTATTATATATATAGGTTTATATAAGTTAACTTTAAAATATTTTAAAGTAAGCTTATATAATTAATATAATTAAGGATTAGTTTAAAAATATTATTTTAATTTATTTTATAGCTTCGTTCTTAATATTAATTTTACTTAATAGATATAAAGGTTTATAAATATAGCTATATTTATAATAATTATAGCTTTATAATTTTAATAAATATATTAAACTTTTATATAATATATCTTTAAAGGTTTTAAAATAAAAGATTTAAAGGTAAAATTATAAGCTTTTTATTAAGCAAGCATCTTTATATTTAATATATTTAATAATAAGGTAAGGGTTTTTTTTATAACTTATTTATTTATAAGAAACTATTAATAAATAAAGGATAGCTTTTTAAAGGGTAAGATTAAAGGGATTTCCTTTAATATAATTAATTATTTAAAATAATACTCCTTTAATAAAATTATAAATAAATAAACTTATAGGATTTAATAAACCTTTTTAAAATATAAAGTAATTAATAGCTTAAAGGTATAATTAAATAACGTCTAATTTTAAATAAGGAATATAAATTTATAATAAATATTATAGCAATTTAATTTTTTAACTTATTTAGGTTATAAATATAAGTTTAATTTTTTAAATCTTTAAAATTATTTAACTTAAGCTTTAATTTAAATAAATCTTCTTTATCTATTAAGATTTTTACTTTAAATAATATAGAAATTAAAACAAATTTATATTTAAATCTAAAATATAAAATAAACCTTTAAAGTATTATAAATATTTCTCCTATAGCTAAATCTTTAATAATTAATATAAAATTATATATATTAAATATAGCTATTATGTTTTAAAGCTATAATAATTTAAAAATAAATTATATTATTAATTTACTTTTAATTAATTAAATAATTATTTATATTAATTAAAATATATTAACTATTATTATAATAAAGATAATAAATTTATAAATAAGATTTAATTTATTAAATAAGTTTAGGAAAATAAGCTATTTAATATTTAATTTTTCGATTTTCTTTTAAATTAAGCCTAATTTATTTATTAGGAATAGATGTATAATATTTATCTTACTTCCCTAATCTATTAAACTAGCTTTATTATTTAGGACCTATTTTATTAATTTACCCCCCTTTAAATATTTAATAATAAACTTAATCCTATATACCTTTATAAATTAAATAAATGTTAAATTAATATTTAGGTATATACTTTTTTTTATTTTAATATATTATTTAACTATTCCTTTAACTTTTTTTAATACTTTAATAAATAAAAACTTTAAATTTTTATTAAAATTTAAGTTTAATTATAAAAGGTTTATAAAGGATATCTTTATAATAATAATATTTAAAAGTTTTATATAATTTATAGCTTTTTATCCTTTATATCCTTTAATTTTTATAAAAGGTTTAAAGGATTAATTAATATTTTTAAGTTTTTAAACCTTTTTTTATTTTAATATAACCTTTTTAACTTATTTATTAAATAAGGATAAAATTAAAACTATAATATCTTTATCCTTTCTTTTTTTAAGTAGGGGTTTATTTATAGCTATAATTAAAAGGGCCTAAAGTAATATAATTTAATTATTTAACTCTTTAAAAAGAATGGTCCCTTTATTTAAAAATTTAACCTTATTTACTATTATAAAGTTAAAGGATATTATATAGTTAAATTTAAAGATTAAATTTAAGTTCTGGGGTATTACTTTATTTTCCTTTAAAAATTATTTATAATAAAGCTAAGCTAACCTAAATTGGATTTCTATTATCTTAAGGCCTTTTTTTAAATATTTATTAACGGGAAATATTATACCTTTAAAGTATACCTATTCCTATTAAGCTAGTTATTTTTATTAAGGGGTATTATATTTAATTTAAATATATTTCTAGCTTTTATATTAAAAGTATACTTTTTTTTTTAATCCTAAGGTTTTAATACTATTAATTAATAGGTTTTTTAATATAGCTTTAATTAAAAAAATATTAATTTTATAAAATTTAAATAAAATATTAAATTAAGGAATAGGAATAATAAATATCCTTTAAGGATATTTATTAATATAATATTTAATTTAATAATATTTAAAATATATAATTATATAGGATAAAGCTATTATAAGAGCTATATTAAATATTAATAAAGGATATTAATAAGTATTATTTAAAGGGGATTATAAGGAATATTATATTAGTTTAAAAGGAAAAGTTTAATATTAAGCAGTATAATTTATTAATATTTAAGGGAAATAATAATTAATAGCCTTTTTTACTATTAGTTTTTTATAATTTTAAAAGGCTTTATAAATAGCTTTAACTTTTATATAGCTTACCTTTTTATTAGCTATTTTAGCTTTATCTTTAAGGATATATTAAGCTTTTTAAATAATTTTATAGCATTATTATAATAATTTAATTATTTAAGCTTTATTATTTAATAATTTTTAATAAAGCTTAAAGTTATTTAATTTATTTAGAAATTAATATATTATTATTTAAAGAAAAGTTACCTTTATAGGGAATAATAGATTAATAAAGCTAAATAGTTATTTAGGATTATTTTTATCTTTTATTTATTTTAAAAAGTTTTAAATATAAATATAATATTAAACTAAAGGTTTATCTTTATTTTAAAATAGGTAAATAAAATCTTTTATATTTATATTAATATTAATAAGCTTTATAAGATATTTATCCTTTAAAGTTTATTTAAAATCTTTTAAATCTTTTATTTAAATTATACCCTTTATAGTATAATTAATTACCTTTTAAAGTTTAAAATTTAAATTTAAAAATATAATAGCTTTTTATATATATAATATATTAATAAATATAATAGCATTTAATAATAAGATTTAAGCCTTTTAAAATCCTTTTATATAAAACTATTAATAGATCTTTTATAGCTAATAGGTAATGGATTCTTTATTATTAAAGTAATTATAATAAGTTATATTTAAAACTTTATAGTTATTTATTAAATAGCTATAATTATATTAATATATTTCCTTTATATTTAAACTTGGATAGGATTTAATAAGTTTAAATAATAAGGTTAAAACGATAGTTAATAATAGGTATAATAATTAATCCGGATATTAATAAGCTGGACCGGTTAAAATATTAAGTATTATAAATAGTAAATTTAGGAATTAATTTAATAATATAAATATAGGAATTAACTTTAATAATAGGTATAAAAAAGGATTTATTAAAATAAATAATAATAAAGGCTACTTTTATAATAAATTAATTAATATTATAGGATAATTAAATAAAAACTTTAATAGTTAAATGGTAAGGCGCCGGATAAAAATATAGCAATTATTATTTATTAAAGGGAAATCTATTAATTTAAAGGATATAAATCTTAAATTAAACAATAATAATAAAGTTAATAATCTTTATAATATAAAACGATATTATAATATTAAAGGTTATAATAATAGGATAGGTTAATTAATTTTATAATAATTAGCTATCCTTAAAGTAAAGCTTATAATATTTAAAAAACTTTAAATAGATTTATAATATTTAATAAGAATAGGTATATTTATATTAACCTTATAATAGCTATAAGACTTACATTTAAGAATTTAAGGATAAAAGTAGTATTAATTAATTTGAAATTATTAGGAGATAACAAATTTGATATTTATTTAATGGAACCAATGGGACGTAATACAGTGGTGATTAATTTTGTTCCGGGATAGGGGTACCAGATAATGCGGGTAGGCCAAAAAGGTGTAGTTATTATTGGTAAGTAGTTAGCACTGTAGCTAGGAGGGGGTGGAACTAGATACAGTGTCCAGTGTCCAGGGTGGGTCCCACAACTATATCTACGTCAAGGGGCATGGTCTGAAGCACTATGTATGTATCTAACAGAAGAGCTAGAAAGTGCCTATATGTACCTGAGTATGTCTTGTATGTATCTGTGCCTTACTGTAACAGCGGGAGTGACATGTTGGAGGGGATGGATGGCGGGCCGGAGTTCTGCCGCTGCAAGCAACCTATGCTTAAAACGGCTAGATCCAGGCCTTGCCGACAATCAACCGGCAGCAAGCCCCTGTCCACCACCCCTCCACCACTCATGACACTCACACCACGGCCGCCAGGCAATTGGAACTTATCGTAGTGCGTCATGGCCGTCAGGCTCTTTCAATTCATCTCTCCAAATTTCAAAACATGCAGGACTTGTCTGTCTTACAGGTTCCCAGACCATAGAGGGAGACAAAGAGGGCGGCTGTCGCCAGGACAGTTTGCAGGAGAAACCTAAACCTAGGTCCACAGACAGCACAGGCAAACAGAGTTTCACCTAGAGGACTGGTCTATTAGGTAGTGCCTAGTGAAATGACCACGTCTGGTGAGCCCATGTTTACTCCATCTCCTACTATCTACTACCACCCATCTAGACCACCGCCACATCGAGATATGACACCATCCCCAGGCACATCCCGCCTATACTCGCTGTCGCCATGGCTAGTACCAAAGCCTCACTCAAGGCCATAAACGATGCGATTCGTCAACAGAAGTGGGATGAAGCCTTGGCTCAGACCGAATCCCTCATATCCAAAGACCCCAAGAACTACCAAGCGTATGTCTGCCCTCTGCCCTCTGCCCTCTGCCCCCCGGCCTCCGACCCCCCACACTACGGGTACCATCACACCATACTAACATTGCCTCGCCCAGCTATGTATTCAGGGCCTTTGCGCTCGACAAGAAAAACCAGCTGGATCTTGCCGAGGCTGCGTACAAAGTAGCAACAGATCTTCGATCTGATCCGCAAGCATGGCAGGGACTCATCAAGCTCTATGAGAAGCAGGGTGCTAAGTTCCTGGAGAAGTACTATCATGCTGCCCTGAAGTTGGCAGAGATATTCCACGTTGCAAATGACATGTACAAATGTCAAGATGTTATTGACAAGTTTGTCGACTTCGCCCGCGCCCAGGGCGACCGTTCTCAATACGTCGAAGCCCTCAACATCATTCTTCCCGCCAGTCCCATATATCCCACCTTAGCAGGTCGTGTACCTCACCCCGCCAAGACCTATGAGACTATGGCCCAGATCCTCGAGATTGAAGAAAAGAAACGTATCAACACCCTCATCGGAGAGAGGCGCACGAGACTAGGCGCCAAGCTGAGTGAGGTCACTGTTGAGGTCAACCGTGAAGTCTTGTGTCAGAGCAAGCTTGCCTGGATCTATGAGCAACTCATCTTGTGGACGAGCGACGATGATATCAGGCGCCAATACGAAGAAAAGCTATTACAGTTTCGATACGATCGCCTTCTCGTTACTCCCCCGGCTGAAAAGGGCCCTGAACTCCAGATTGTGCAGAAGCTGGCCAACGACATGGTCATCATCAAACATCCATTCAAGCTCGCTTGGGATATCGCAATTGAGTGGCAAGATTGCAAAGAGATCAAGGACTGGGATGTCAATGTTCTCAATGAATATTGTGCCCACTTTCCCGACAGCGATCTGTATCGTGTGTTGACGGGGTTCATGACGAGCGATTTATCTCCCTTCCCCAAGAAGCCAGACAGCACCCCTGCGAAAGTGGAAACCGCTCAGGACCAAGATGAGAGTGAAGATGACGAGGACGGCGGCGCTCCTACCTCTGTAATCCCCTATACAGATGAAGATCGGCTGCTCATGATGACAGAGGGAATTGCGACCACCACTTCTCTCCTTGCTCACAGGTTAATGGGAGAGTACTATCAGCACTTAGAAGAACATGAGACCAATGTTGAGCTGATGAGAAAGGCCATGAAAATCATGATGGCTGAAACTGAAAAGACTGGGAAGGTCTTCATCAACACGAACCAGGCGTTTATGCTTTATCTCGGTACGGCCTTGGTATTTTACCAATCACCGCGAAATCACGGCGAGGCCAAGTTTCTCTTCGACAAGGTATTAGAAGTTGATCCCACTTCGACATCGGCAATGATTGGAGTCGGCCTGATATATGAAGAGGAAGAAGAATATGATAGCGCTATCGACTTCTTAAACCGCGCATTGAAGGGCGACAAGGACAATCTTAGAGTCCGCGCTGAGGTTGGTTGGCTGTATGCGCTCAAAGGCGACTATATTCGTGGAAAGTCGGAGCTTGAGTCGCTGCTCCCAGCCATGATTTCCCAACCTGTCTCAAAAGATCTCTTAGCCCAAACGCAATATCGCCTGGGTTGTTGCATATGGAATATCGACTCTTCCAAGGCCGCCCGAAAAAGTCGGGATGGAGCGTATGCTTATTTCATTGATTCCTTAAAAAGCAACTTCAGCTACGCACCAGCATATAGTAGTCTTGGCATCTACTACGCAGATTACGCCAAAGATAAAAAGCGAGCTCGAAGGTGTTTTCTGAAAGCGGTCGAGCTTTCGTCAGCCGAAGTTGACTCCGCAGAACGACTGGCGAGGTCCTTTGCGGACGACAGTGACTGGGATCGTGTCGAACTGGTCGCCCAGCGAGTGGTGGATTCCGGGCGGGTAAAGCCGCCTCCAGGATCGAAGAAGAAAGGAATTAGTTGGCCATTGTCAGCTCTCGGTATTGCTGAGTTGAACAAACAGGACTACGGCAAAGCGATCGTTTCTTTCCAGCATGCACTCAGAATCTCTCCGAATGACTACCATTCGTGGGTCGGCCTTGGAGAGAGTTATCATAATTCCGGACGCTACATCGCAGCCACCAAAGCAATTCAGAACGCTCGGGGGCTTGAAGCAGCTATGAATATCCAGGACCCCAACGATACTTGGTTCACCAAATACATGTTAGCTAATGTGAAGCGAGAACTCGGTGAGTTCGACGAAGCCGTGGATCTGTACCGCGATGTCATCACTCAACGGCCAGAAGAAGAGGGCGTCGCTATTGCACTAATGCAGACACTGGTTGAAAATGCCTTTGACTGCGTCGATAAGGGTTTGTTTGGGAAATCTGTCGAGCTTGCAACTAGAACATTGTCATTTGCTGTGTCTGTTTCGAAACCTATCGCACACACCTTCAACTTCTGGAAAGCTGTTGGTGATGCCTGCTCTCTCTTTTCCCAAGTTCAGGGTCACGCCCACAATCTTCCTGTTTCTGATATTCACACAATACTCGGCTCCGCTGCAGACCAGGAGACAGCTTATGCGATACTGCAGGATGTCGATAAAGTCGGCAAGGAAGTAGTTTTTGCGAAGGGAAAATTCCCGGAGGATGAGCAGCTTGGTGTTGACTTGACACAAAGCTTACACGCCACCATCCTCGCTCACAAAATGGCTATCCACTTAACAGCACAGGACGCCCATGCTCAGGCAGTTGCATATTATAACTTGGGCTGGGCAGAGAACCGAGCACATTCATGCTTACCTGCGAATCTCCGAATACAATCCAGTCGATATCAGAAGGCGGCCGTACGTTGCTTTAAGCGAGCCATCGAGTTAGAAGCCGGTAATCCCGACTTCTGGAACTCCCTCGGCGTGGTCACCAGCGAGATTAATCCATCGGTCGCCCAACACGCTTTTGTTCGATCCTTGTACCTAAACGAAAGAAGTCCACATGCCTGGACCAACCTCGGTACCTTAGCGTTACTCCAAAACGACTTTCAGCTTGCAAATGAGGCATTCACGCGTGCTCAATCCAACGACCCGGATTATGCACATGCTTGGGTCGGGCAGGGCTTTGTGGCTCTCCTATACGGCGATGTCAAAGAAGCCCGTGGGCTCTTTACGCATGCTATGGATATATCAGAGGCCTCGTCACTTATCACAAGACGTCAATGCCCAACATCTATCTTTGATTATATCCTGACAGCTCCCACACAAGCGAGCGTAGCCACTCTAATTCAACCTCTCTTCGCACTTGGCCAGCTGAAACGTCTCAAGCCTCAAGACCTAGCTTATCAGCACCTCTGGGCGCTTTTCCAGGAGCGGACTGAAGATAGTCCTAATGCCATAGCCACCCTCGAAGCAGCTTGTACCAAGCTAGAAGCGACCTATGAAGCGACCGAATCATCGGATGCTCTTGCTCGGTTTGCTTTAGGAAAAACGGACCTAGCTAGATCATATTTAGCTTCCGGAAACAATGCCGCTGCCATTGAATGTGGTGAAATGGCTCTTGAACTTAGCAGTGATGACTCTGCTGAGGAGCTAACGGCAGAACAACTACGAAAGGCCCGGCTCTCAGCCCACTTGACAGTTGGGTTAGCTCGGTATTTCAACAACCAGCCTGAAGAGGCTGTCAGCTACTTCGAAACAGCCTTAGAAGAATCAGCCAACGATCCCAACGCAGCCTGCTTATTGGCGCAAGTCTTGTGGGCTACTGGCACCGAGGATGCACGAGAGAGGGCGCGCACTGTCTTATTCGAGATAATAGAGACGGACGCTAGCCACGTACAGTCCGTGGTACTCTTGGGAATTATTGCATTACTGGATGCGGATGATGAGTCTCTTGACGCTGTGGTATCTGAGTTGCACGGCCTGCGCACCAGCGACAAAACAACCGATGCAGAGCACTCGCAGATCGGTGAGGTGTTCCGAGCAGTAGCCGCCTTGGATGAAAACAGCACAGAGGAAGACGTACTGGCTCAAATCCAGGGCGATGTGGCGCTATACCCGCACCTTCCATACGGATGGTCTCGTTTGGCTGAGGCAACTGGCGAAAAGTATCCCGCGGATATGGCACTCAATGTTGCACTGAAGTCCGTTCCTCCCAAAGGCGACCTCGGAGCCGCGGACCTGGCAGATACATATGCCGGTACCGGTGGTGTCGCCGACGCCCAAGCTGCCATCTTCATCGCGCCTTGGGTCCGCAGTGGATGGGAGTCTTTGGGTAGCGCAGTTGCCTAGGCAGCTGCGCGCTCATCATCTTGGTATGTTTATATTTTTGCTCATTTCAAATTATTATTCTTTGTTCTTCTTAAGCTGTTATGATGATACTTGTCACCCAAAAAATATGTTTCAAGACGGGACTGAGATCTTCATTGATGGATAAATTAAACTCTGAGCAGCTACCTAGATACATGGTCGACTTTCTTCTTCTGATATTATAAGAACATGGCAAATACTGACAGTGCTTAGGCAGGGTCGTCTCATTCATCTGGTCGGCGCTGGGGATAGGGGATGATGGATGCGTTATGAAAGAAGGCATGATATGATGGGTTTGGAGCCTTGGTAATATCTTGGAGGGCATGACGTTCTGTGTACAGCAGGCAGTGGTCCCAGCAGGAAGTGATCTTGAGAAGATCGACAATGCATCTTGAACTATTATATATTGGCCAGCTCTTAGCCATGCAAATCCCTTCCTAGCTTCAGCGGCATAATGCGTGCTGGTCTTGGGATGAATAAAATGAAGAAAAACCCTTGGAAAAAGCTAATTGGAATGCCTTAGTAGATTACTTGTGTTCTGTGAGCTGATTGTTGTATTTTATTCCCACGGTGTAGTGCGGTCTTGTGTGAGATGTCGTTCGTTAGACCCAGCACATATACTGATTGTTATTGTTCTTATTGTACTCTTTAACGTCAGGGAAAGCCAGCAAGCCAGCATTTCCACAGATCCTCCCGAAAGGATATAAGGGCGTGCTGAGTCTGTTTAATATCCAATTGATTACAGCGTTGTCCGATAAATCAAGAACTAAGGCAGCCCCGTACGTGAAGCTATTCGCATCGGACTTCTTTCTTTTATTTGAAAGGTGTGTTTAACAGATCTGTATGTATGCTGAATTCAATACTGAAACCGTGTTGAAGGCTTAAGTAGTGCGTTGGGGGTCGGACTAATCAGGTTAAAAAGGCGGTATTAAGAGGTTGATGACTGAATACCTTACTTTGTATGGCAGGCTAGGCCATTTTGAAGTCATTTCTTAGCAACCTACTAATAGTAGATACCAAGAAAAGTGCCAGCACATAAGTATATTCAATCCGACGATGTAACATTTCCACATATCAGTAACGGATCATCTAATATGGCGCCTACAGGACCGACGCACATTGGCCAGATAGTAGTATGTACCACTAGCGACTCATCCAGTATAGACTATGGGAAGATCCGGCTTGGCGTATCTGTGCTGGACTTTCATTACGGTCGCTTTTTGCAGTTTGCTTGTTAGGGAGTATCTGGGAGTAGAAATGCCATGGTACAAAGGCAATCAGTCACTTTACATGTTGGTTCATTGGGGAAGTATCTACTCCGCACGGAGGTCTACGATGTAGGTAGATAATTGATATACGCTTGCAGCGCTTGCGGGTGTGTATACTACGTATATATATATGACGAGTCATGAACGGCCATTGACGATGCCCATATAGTGACAGTGTGGCTTAGGCGCCACTGTCTCCCCTCACGTTGTGTCCAGACCCATCTTCCCCTCACAGCCACCGATCCCAGATCCTCCTTCTCTCATCTGATCTTATACACACGTGTGCTCTTGCCGCTCCCACCTTTCCTTCTGCTTGAGGCTCTCCTGTGCGAACATGGAGAGGCATTCTAAATCCCCCTGCGAATTGCCCGCCGCACAGAAGAACGAAAATGACGGGCTTCCACAAGAAGATCTTGACGCCGTGGAGGATGATAAGGACATACCTGTGAAACGTGAGACGTCGCCTAGCTCCGATGACGCCAGGATCGGGTTAATGGAATATGCGCCCTTTCCCGCTCATTTGAGTCAGGCTTCTAGTAGTCATGGCATTGGGCGCGGGACTATGAAGCAGGAACAAATCAAGCAGGAACCAACCTTCCAGGAGCAAAGTAAGTCATCATTGCCCTCTGCAATATCATCATCATTTAGCTCATATGAATAGACGACCTTGCATCCACAAGGCACTACCACTACGGAGGGCCAATGCTGGATCGGATGGGCGATCATGGGAATCCTTGGCCAGTGCCACAGAGTCATGGCGATGCGAGTGTCGCCATGCACCCGCCGCCTCCAGATTCATCCAACCTCAATCCGGCTACTCAGGGGGCAGTGGGCCACTCCGATATCACAGACATATATAGCTTAGCAATTTCCCAACAGAATAGAGCTTACAACTTGATGCACTCGACATCGGCCTACCAAGACCAAAATCTGTTGGAGCTGGGGAAGAAGGTGTTCCTCACCATCGTGGACAATGAGAACTACTTGACCCCTGCCAACTTCGACCGCGCTCGATTCCAGATCTTCGATGCGCAGATGAATGACCTGGAGAACCAGATCAAGGCGAGGATTGAACAGGTAAAACGAGCCGAAGCGCTAGGCAGAACTAGGCTGGACGATTTCCAGATGCAGCTGAGGCTCCTGGAGCAACAGAACCGCCGAAGGCTCGGGTTAAGCAGGCAGAGACAGGAGGAGAAAGAGTACGCCAGAAAACACAAGCGCAGGAGTGCAAGGCTGTCCGCAAAAGCGAATGCGCCTCTGTAACGCGGGTTTGGATCAGGTTTGGGTAGCAGCGTTTTGGTCGGAGTAGGTATTGGTTTACGTTTGGGATCAGATCTGCTTGCCATGTGATTGTTAAGTGTGTTAGCTCTACGATTATTGATTCATCACCCGCGCTGGACGCGCTGTGTGTGTATGCCATAAGAGCTCAGTGGTCAGTTAAGGCAGCCTTGGAATTGTCTGTCACGGAATGACATAAGGAGTGCAGTACTATGCCACTACGCCACCAAAAGGTAACGACGAGTTATCAAGTCGAAGGCTTGACGTCTCTGCACTCACTATATAGTACTGTACTGTAACATTGTCGCAAGTGAGGCTATTCAATTCAGTCCTCGCTAGTGAAAATTATGTCGAAAACCTTGGAGGCGAGGCATGCTGACATATCTGTGACAGCAACACTATATATGCCAGCAATCCACCTGGGCTAGGGTTTGATTCAAAGCCTTGATAACCACGCTAGGTTGTAGCATAGCTAAATCTACAGTTGTAAATCCGAAATCACGCCTTAGCGTGAACATATCCACCGGCTGAGGGTGTCTCGGCGGCCCCACTAGGTCGGCCTTATTTGACTACATTCCCGTTTGAGCGGCCGGGACTCCGGTTTGTTACCGGCATCTACAGAGACAGAGCGATGTACTCAGTGAAAAGAAAGCGGTTGGTGGTCAGGACATTGTCTACGGACATAAAGAGATTGGAATTTATTACAGCTTGGAAAGAACTGAGCGAGTTCTGCTTGCCCCTTGCGCGGCAATACAGATCATTCTCTAGGATATCAACCCCTTACACTAGCCTCACTCTACTTTAGGGTGTCAAGGGATAGATCTAGCTTGACTTCTACATGTGCCAGTGTATCATCACTTGGAACGATGTTGTCGGCCGCGCTTCCCAGTTGTATGTCTCGTATAGACATGAAGTCCCCATACCATAACGACCTGGTCTTATCTTTTGTCGTTTGACTTATTGTTGAGTTTCCTTTTGCCAAAATTTTATAACTTTAAGTGTTAGTTATGCATTGGAAAATAACGATATTTTCGGCACAGGTTAAAGCCCAAAGTTTAAGATTCAATATTTCCGCATTTGACATTTTAAAACTCAAAATCTCCTTGATCTAGGTACGGCTGCAGGATTGCAAGAATCTCATTCCATGTATCGTCTGCTAGCTCCTGGCCTCGTTCACTTTTCAAGAAATCGCTGGGCCTGAGAGCAGTGTTAGTCGCGTCATGAAAATATGAGAGTAGAAAATCTTACTCTAGATAGCCATCTTCCCGCCAAAATCTCCCCGCGCTCTTTCGCCAGAGCTTTCCCATACTCTCTGGACCCAGCCCCGTAGCGCTCACGAGAGACCGACTTCCCTCCTCCACGCTTCGACTCAGAGGTAAGAGAAAAGCCTGCTGGGAGAGCCTCATATACCATGGGAGGTCACGTTGCATATTGGTGCGACACACTGTAATATTCAGCTCAGTGAAACTATCCTATCAAACGAGAGACGAGCTCCGAATAGATGTGGGCGGGTGCTACTCACTTCCAGGACAACACGCGTTGATAATCACTTTGTGTTCGTCGCGGTTGGCCTCAGAGTGTTCGACAACTCGCGCGATTCGTGAAATCGCAAACCAGGCAGCTAGTTTTGTCAAGTAATAATGTCTTGTAAGATCAAATTTTGAAGGGTCATTCAATGTCCCTATTAATAGCGTTTGGCCAGCAGAGGGTAGCCACTCCGGATCAACCGCATGCGAAGCCAAGCTATTCATGAAACAAAGATGCGGGAGGCAGTCGCCTTCAGAAGACGCAGCAGCACGTAACTTCGGAAGGATGCGCAATGCCAGGAGCGTATTCGAGAGAACATTAACTTGTGTCGTCATTTCATACCCATCTGAACCCGTCCGATAATCCGGTACTACGATGCCTGCACAGAGCAGCGCGACATCGAGTTTTGCGACCCTCTCATTCAATTCGTTGACAAAAGTATTGACCGATTCAAAACTAGATAGCTCGAGGATAAGAATGATTATCTCGCCCGTATGCCCCGTTTCGTGGATGATCGAAGCCCTCGCGGCGTCGCCCTTCTCCTGTGATCGGACGGCTAGAATGAGAGGGGAGGCACCCAGGACCGCATACTTGACCGCCGAAGCGTAGCCAAGACCTGAGTTGGCTCCAGTTACTAGAACTGCTTTATCCTGGAAGGAGAGACCCGTAGGCTCCGCAGGAGGGTTTCTGGCTTCGCTCCAGAGATCCCAGATAGTGGTCATGGTGAAGATTGCTTGTTCGAGCGAGGACTGAAGCGACACAGAGGGTGATGTGATCTGCAAGATAAGGTGAAAAATACGCGTTGGTTTCAGACAAAGGGGAAACTTTCATCTGATGAACTGTTGGGCTGTTGGCAGATAGACTTATGTTGGCTTTGGTATCCCTGCATGCAGCATGATACCGGTATCTCCGATATGCATTCTTCCCAACAGCAATGAGACAAACTGCAGGAAATCGGTGTGGAGCCGTACGACTCTCCACCAGATAAAAACCGTAGTATATTATGGTAAGGGTTGCGGTAGGGCTTAGAATTGAAGCTTTTCACAACATAATATATTAGTATCTGGTCTTGCTACGGCTTATTCTGGTCTTTAGCGCCCGAGATGTCTCACTACCAACCAGATCCGCGTCATCTCCCCTTTTCGTAGGTCTCACAAAGGGTCCTTGCCAGGTATGCGCTCTTAGCCGTAGGCGATCTACCTATTCGGCCGTACGCGCGTGTAACATATGTGACCGGATGATGTTGGAATGCCCTCACTGCTGACCTAGACTTCGCGTAACAACAAAGGCCTTACTGTATATCGTGTGCCACGGGCCCTGACGCAAGGGCCTATGGTTTTGAAGAATTCTTATTGCCTCTGCGGATGTAAGGTATTTAATATCTCCATCCTATACTCGGATATCTTTAACTCACGGCAGGCTTCCCTGTGAGAGGTGCGACAATGTTGGGGGCTGGGGGCTATAATTGTATGACCATTTTAAGATCGTGACAACCAGATGGAGGGATAGCTAAGCCTGCTGTCTGAGTTTGGAGAACTCCGGCTGACAAGAATTGTCAGCTCAGGAGCCTCGTCTTCCCTGAGATTGGTTAGTTAGGCTACCTAAGTGGGACGAGTGTGAATGATCACTGGTGCCCATGCCAATAAGCCCTGGAACAATCATGATTGGAATTGACCAACAGGAAAGAAGTAAAGCACGACAAGAATGGAAAGCTCAAAGGTATCAGGAGTATGATTTATGCGTGAGCGTAAGTTAGGATCAAGTCACAAATATATGGGAGAACAGGGCAAATGACTATTCTCAGAACGACGCTATATGCAGCTTTTCTAAATTTCTTTCAATTGAAAATACTATGTGTCATTACGAAAGCATGAGGTATACAGTAAGACTCTCATAGTTGCACGAAGTCTAGAATGTCAGGAGACTCCTATTGGGTATATACACTCCATTTCTTTGTCCTTAATCCCTGTCTCCTAACACTATGTCTACCCAACTCTTTGGCTAACGAGGCTGGTCACAGAACTGACGTTGTGTAATTTGTAGGAATTCTAAATAGTAATTTGATTGGATGTGGTCAATCAGCTTATTGCTTGTCATAAGATCCAAGTAGACTTTAGAGGTTCAACACCCCTGTCACCACGTCACTGATCATCGGAACGCATCTGAATATTTGCGAGATCCACTTTGCCGAGATACAGTCGGGGTTGGGGGTTGTCGGAACATTATTGCCGATTAGTTAGTGTAAGCTGAATTATTTAGAGGATGAGAAGCGGGGTTTCGTGATACCTAGCAGTTTTCTGCTTGATGATCTATTCTTATTTTCTGTTACGGCGTATTCGTTCGAGCTATGGCTTGTTCTTAGCGTATTTGATATTCCTCATAAGCCTTGGCCCTGCTCACACATTGAAAGCGGCATGTGCCATCGGATTGTATGAGGAACATTCAAAAGAATTGCCATCTCTAAGCGTCTAATTAATCCTAGTCGGGTTTTTATCTCAAACACTGTCTCCAAACGGCACTGGTTGAGCTTAAGAAAGTAAATTGTAGTTGGAGTTTAGTGTACGATATATCCCGCGCTCTAGGACGGACTTACTTGGAGGTCATCTAGACTTAAGATCAAGGGTTCGCCAGCTTCCCCATTCGTTCGGGTGTCTCCACATGCTCCGCCTCGGCGGATTCGAGCAAGACCAAGACTCGGACGTCACACTGCGTATGCGCCCGACATACGTGTTAAGCATTCCTGCACCGCATCGTTAACACAGCCAGCGGCATCAGTCCTCACGTAATATTGCCTCCGAAAGGTCGGTCTTTGTGCCTTGTCAGAGCCTGATTTGGCACTTTTCTCTCCAAGTTCTATCGAATCTCGATCTTCTGCGGAATGGCGCGTCATTAGCCGCTTTTCTTCGAGTGCCTGTCCCTGAGAGGGGTGTTAATGGATTGTACCAGACACAACTAGTTCCCCTGTTCTCTTAACATGAGGCTTGTAGCACCGAATTCGGCAGTTGCATATCAAAACCACGTGTCACGATAGTATCTTTGCTTCCATTCAAAGGTCAGCATTACGTCGTCCCCCTTCAATTTCCACTTCGCTCTACATATAGTTAGATAGCCACTCCAGGATGTAAGCAGCTATCAGAAAGATGGATTTCCTATGTTCATCGGGAGACCATCCTACTGGACAGCGTAAGTGGGATTACAACCCATAATGGGTCTTTCTAAGAAAGGTCCATTCTATAAGTAAACATGATCCCCAGATAGTTCTGAGGCTGTAAAATGAGAATATAATTGCAAATGTCACAGCTTTTCTTTGCCAGTTATAATAGAGCTACCAATCATGAAGACTCTTCTCGTTATCCTGGGCGCAGGGCTCGTCGCCGGTTTCCCAGACCTCTCAGAGAAACCTCAGTCTCGTGTGCTTCCAAAGATTGAACTGACTAATGTCACCAAGATTAATGTGAACAGTGCAAAGTCAGCAAAATTCTCTGCCCGCAGTATCTTCGGTCCTTTCATGGGTGTAGACTTTCCAGACCCCTCAATTATCTCGGCGAACGGGCTGTGGTATGCGTTTGCAACAACATCCAACGGCAAGAATATCCCTTTCGCCACGTCTATAGACGTCTTCCCAGGGCAAGGCTCTGATACATTTACGTGGACGCTCGGCACCACCGATGCGCTACCAGACGCTGGGCCTTGGGCCGATGCTGGGAAGGGAATCTGGGCACCCGATATCCAGCTCAACGACGATGGGACCTTCGTAATGTGGTATGTATGAAAACCTGCTGTGCCTGTTGCACGACCTGGTATTGATAGAAAGATCTATTGGCTTCCAGAGCTAACGACTACTACAGTATGTGAGCTTTTATCAAAAAACGCGACTATCATAGTCTATGTAAATCTAGTGAGTGTATAACAGGGGATTAGACTAACTCATGTTGATATGACAGACTACACAGCCTGGAAAAATGGCGGCACCCACTGCATTGGTGTGGCCACTTCAGGCTCGGTTACAGGTCCATACACGCCGCAATCCACGCCCCTGATCTGCGACGATGCCGGTGGCGGCGTTATCGACGCAGCAGGATACGATGACGGCGAAAACCGCTGGATTATGTGGAAAGTTGATGGTTCTGCGCTAGGCGGACTGACTACCGTAAGTAGGAGAAAATGATATAGCAGCATATAGAGTATATCTAAGCTGGAACCACTAGTGCGTGAATACGCCGACGGGATCGATCTACTATCCGACACCAATCATGATTCAGCAGATGCAGCGGGACGCGATCACGCTTGTTGGCAGCCCTTCAAAGATCCTAGACCACGTAGGCGCCAACAACGATGGTATTGTCGAAGCCCCTTCGCTCTATAAGATCAGCGATGGGAACTACGTTCTGTTCTATAGCGCCCACTGCTTTAATGACGATAATTACGATATCGAGGCTGCTTTCTCGTCAACAATTAATGGAGCGTACACCGACCGTGTTATCGTTATGAACACTGCAAACCCCTACGGAATCTATGGGCCTGGGGGTCTTGATATTGACCCTAATGGTGTTACTGCGGTATTTCACGGGCGTCTTAACCCTAACGACCGGAGCGGTGCCCGTCAGCTGTTCAGTGGCGATATCAAGATTACTAGGGGGTCTGTAACCTACTGAGAGGTTTGGAGAAGCCATCGTCTTATATATAAACAAAACCAGTATCATAAGCTAGTTTTGACATAAGAGTAATAAATAGGAGATTAGCCTAGCTCCTGCACAAAGATCACGTATTTTTGATTTGAAGGATAGCACGTCGATCTCCTCTTTTTCCTCTTCTGTAACACGCACAGCCAAAAATCCAGTTTGCTTAGGGTTATGGGCGTAATGCAGGCTATTCATGACCTTCGAGAAACATGCACGCAATACTAAAACTAAGGTATTACAGGCCTAGGTGGTCAGGACTGGCAGTCCAATTGTGTATAGAGTCAAAGTCAAGCCACCAACGCCCTACAATTACCAGTGACAGTCCGTAGCCTTACCTAAAAGGGTGATTCCATTTGAGGTCAAATCTAGACTAAAACTAGAGATGGAAGTAGGATAGTGGAGAGCATCGATGACAACGCCAGGAGCCCCTTTTATGACGCATGCAAACCATGATTACACACAGCTAATCGCTATCTTATGCGACGAACCAAATAGGGAAATCTCATTCGAGACCTCGATGGTTAATGCCAGCCAGAAGAGTCCCCGCTGTCTGTCATATTGTGTTGGCAAAATAGCTGATGTACAACCTATGAACCTTAGTAGTGTCATCTCACGCACCCATCATATCTCCGTTGTATCAAATATGACACCGAGCACCCTAGTTATCGTAAAGACGGCGGCTTCGTCTTCAGGACATAGATAGGTGCGTATGCCTCTCGTGCTCGGAAGTCAACGCGATGTGTACGAGCTATTGCACGATGCAGTCCAGACGTCGCTATCAAAACAAGACTGCCACCACTCCGTATCCCAGTCAAAAACATGATCGCAGCTGCTTCTGCAAACACCTCGCTCCCTTTACAGTCCCTCTCTCTGCCTGCCTCACTGGCTGCCTTTGCTCTACGCCGTTTTTCTATATCGATTCGTGGATACGACTGCTATGGAGAAATAGTAAGTCTTGACTTCTGCATATGACCCTTGACCTTTCGTTCGGAGAGTAATATGGTTTGAAGACAGATCCAGGTCCCACGGGGTTGACAATGCTCCGAAGACGAGGATCGGTAAAAAAATGACTCCGTGGTGTGAAAGCTAACTCATGATTTAGTGGGACTTTTGGCCTCACAGCGAACAGGACATAAATCATGTCTTAGCAGATGGTTCGGCGCCTTCAGAGAATCTTGCTTGTCTAACGAGCAAGGGTTTCTCAATGAAAAGAAGACGCTTGGGCGATTCACAAGACTGTTAGCATCAGCGACCAAAGCCATCCAGCACCGCGGGCTTAGGGGCCCCACCTGACTCTAAAGTACTATCAATTTTTTCTACTTGCTATACATGAAGTAAGAATGTTCAATTGGCTTTTGTGATTATGCTACGGTATAAAATAAGTTGCAGGCTAATCAAGGGACTCGACAGCATCTGATAGGAGCATCAACGAAGGGTTCAGTATCTGCTCCTAGTGCTCGGCATACCCATGTTAACGGCCTTTCCAGCATCATCCAAGTCCGTGGCCCGACACAATTCAACAGAAGGCAAGGACGTATCTCTTTTTCATGGCATTTAGGTACTGTTGTGAGTCCCTTTGGCTGCACCGGCGTTTCAAACATCTTCTCGAAGCAAATGCGGTCGCTGATTCTGAATATCAAATATCCGCCTGAGCCTTCGCAGTGGTTGCAGCTTCTCAAATCTTACTTCAGGTATAATATTTATTTTCAGTCTTGCGTACTATTCTCATATATCTGCGATGTATGCTCTCCCTTAAAACAGATGGAACCCCTGTCCGCAACGGACGACTTTAATGCCGATATCCGCGTTGCAGAGGTACTCAACATGTGGGAATAGTCTGAGGAGATAAAGGGACACGTGCTGACTCAGATCTCCTAGTGGTCTCCCTCGCCCTATACTTGCCCCATTACTCAATCATACCTTTGAAACATGTTTCGAGCTTCTCGATGCAAGCTAGATTGCTGAGTCATCCGGACCTATCATTCCTTGATGAGCGAAGTATCAAATCTCAATATTTGGGAAGCTCTTCACGACTATCTACGACACAACCATTCCGCCATCTCGGCAATGGCAGAAGACATACTCGAGGATGCCGTCGGTATTCTAGATAAGAAGAAGCCGGCGCATTTGTACATACCAACCCAGGCCAATATGAGGATTCCGAGGTAAACTTGACGGCTTGCTGGATAGACGCACTGCGGTTTTATCGCCATTCACCCTGGTCTCACGGACTTTCATAGTTTCACCGGATCAAAGGATGCGAGCGAGGGAACTCCGCGGCATAATCGGCGGAAATCTTGGTATTTTTGAAGCTCGGAAATACAGTGGCATGGTATGAACTGGTTTCGGTGTTTTTTGATTACCAATTCGGATCTTATAACAAGGGCAGGTGACTAAGCTTGGAATTGAAGCTATGCAGATTGCAATGATCAACTAGGGCTGTAGGATTCCTTGACCAACCAATCCCTTCTTTGGCTTGAATCGACTCTATATACAACTGGTCTGACCGCCTAGGTCTCATTGGCATGTTTCATAAAGCGAGGTCTGTATAGCCTCACTTTCCAATATTGGCTGCATGTCTCTGAATGATCATGAACAGCCTGTAATGGCCTTTCGTACGACTGAAGCGCAAGGCGAACTGTATGTTCAGTTTGTACGCGTGTAACAGATCTTAAAACTCCCATCATTCAGGTTTCCACTCCAACTGCTTATCACTTGTATACATGACCAAATGGAACATCAGACAATTTTGAATACAATGCCAAAGCCCAGCGTTTCGTGTTGAACGCAGGTAGGGCTATATAATAACCATTAGACCGCTCGAACGTCTAACGGCGTCGTTTTTGACGTTCGAGATCTCGAATCACTGAATACTGTCTCGTACTAATATAAGTTAAAATCTCAGTAGATACATATTGGAGAAATAGCCCAAGCTACCCTAAAATCCAGTGTCTTGCTACTCGTGCTAGATGCGCTAGATGCTTATACGTGTGTTTCCCGCAGTGTTTTGGGTGGCGCACTTGTTCGAACGTGATGCAATCCAGTTCCTAATGAATCTAATTCGAGATGTTTCAAGGTATCTCGGAGGAACGGTTGGAGTTACACATAGAGTGAATGTCAGCCGCCACAACCACCAAGGAGCCCCAACGGACCCGATGGCATGGATTTGCCAGTCATAAAGGATTACTACATATAGCTTCACCTCCAGCGCTATTATCAGTCGTTTTATGTATGAAACCTGAGCCAATGATAGGGCGAGAGAAACCAGAAGTCCTAGCTTATAAGTCCAATGAAAAGCCTAGGTTATCCTATAATATTTGGATTTTCTGATAGAAGTTCTTAGGCTACCCCTTAGAGAACTTTGGTCAGTCCATTATCTCCCCGGCCTTATGCGTCACTAAGAGTTCTTTCTGCCAACCCGCATGCTATGACAGCTAACAGTCGCAATGTTGTATTCATTATCAGGTGGTATGCTACCTCCGTATTGACATAGGCAATTGGCTAACCGATAGCAGACATTAGTGGAGCCTGGGAAAAAGATCCAGACATGCGGGAGCGAACTGAGAAATATCGAAAACGAGCACTCTCTATTGCTCAGAACATCGGCCTATCCTCGCATCTTTGGACTTACAGCAGCAGCAGTCCTGCCCAAAAGATCGGTATTTTTGAGAACAAGAACGATCAACATGATCAAAGCGAGAATCATAGTGCATCGCTAAACGATGTCAGAGAAAGAATTGTGCAGTGGGAGGACGCGCTAAGACATAGAAAGGATAATAAAAGCAACGGGCGTGTCATTCTTCTCGAAGGCCCCGAATTGAGTCCCAGGTTATTAGAACTCTTAGGGGTCATTTTGAACATCCCACCTCACTTTTTTCTGGGCCATAATTGCGGAGATTGGCATCACAGTGCCATTGATGCATACTTCAAGCAAGATACTTCAATGTACTGGAAAGTCCAAGTCCCACTAGTACCTCAAACTGTATCAGTCGAACCTGGCCTACGACAAATAGGCCAATTCCACGTAATCCAAAAAACAACTACTTATAACAATGTCTCATACTGGACCAGGAGTTTCGATCATAACTCATGGACAGGTTCGTGAAGATGTTACCCAAAATACACTCGTGCGGTACACTGATCAAAAGATATCGTAGCTGTAATACTAGTAGATGCAAAGGATTCGAAACGTGGTCCGAGTTACCGATACGGCACCCGCAGTATCTCTATGAAGACCTCTTTCCATGAAATCCTTGAGACGGCAGCCACTAAATCTGATTATATGTATCAGTCTTCCATCTTCGGTGCTGTAGTGGCGAGTTACAGCACGAGCAAAATACCAACTACAAATGATCCATTTGAAGGATCAATACTCATCCGGAACATCATACGATCATGTTGGGAAGAAGTTGTTGCTTCTCTCGCTGCCCAAATTGCTTTTAGAGCACGTACATCATACTTCCGACCCGCTATCTACAAGGGCATCGCAGCCAAAGCGTACGAACACTCCCTTCATTCGCAGCTATTGATTGCAGAATTCAAAGATCTAATGAGCTCTATCATGTGGAAATTCCGGTGCAAGGATACAGACATTCCACAACACAACTCTAACGCTTTGCCCGACAGTGCCACTAACCAGCCAAACGTTGCATTACGGGATGCCCTTAAGAGAGAAAAGAATCGATGGTTGATGCTCCATGAGAGACTGATCAACGTGGAAATTACCATGGCTAAGCTGATGGATATATGGGTACAGCAGGCAGCCGTGGAACAAACGGCAGCAGCTACTCGATTGGCTCGAACATCAGGTCAGCTTGCTAAAATTGCAACAATCGTTGTTCCGTGTAATTGCATTGCAACGATCTTCTCTATGAACGGACGTTTTGCTGTGGGCAAAGAGCTCTTCTATGTTTACTGGATCATATCTATTCCCATAACCCTGGGACTCCTGTTTTGGGTACTATATAGAGATGTCATGGAAATGTTTAAGAGGTTTCGTAATCGGTATCGTGAAAGATAAGTACGACAGGAGTACTCTGGTGCTACTAGAAGCAAAAGCCAAGCTGGAAAAGGAGTGCTATTCATATCTCGAACTTCGGCTTTTGGGAATAGAATCAATGGTAACTGGTACACGTATGTACGGCCGAGTATACAGTTCGCTGTGGCTTCGGGCGTATATCTTGCAAAAATCGCTGTGAGATAATCAAAGAATCGTGTAGTACTCATATGAGACGCTAGATATTTCCATAGCTAAGACGGATAGTAGATGTATGATAGAGAGGTATAGAATCCAACCAGCTTGGATACGAGTCAGCAAGACTATCGCTAGGCAAACGGAAATTATTAGCGCTATGAGGAACGCAAACACATATATCTCACGTAGATCTAACGAAAAAAAAAAAAAAAATTGAATCTAATTGTCTCCTTCGTCGACTTCAGTGATTAACCATAGAGAGCGTTGTCTTATTGAAGTGGGGCTATTTAGCCCCTAATCTATGCCCCTTTTTATACATATCCCAAACTATCCGTCAGCGAATATTCTGTCTGCAAAGTACGATCGTGAAATCAAGTCGTCTCAGAAACGATTTAAAGACGGCTTATTTAGGATGCGCCTTTTGAAAACAAGTCCCCAGGACGGGGGCAAGTTAGTCTCAGTCGAAAAGAATCCGAACGAGATGATCGGTTTGCGATACGCTATCTTGTCGCATACACGAGGAAAGGATGAACTAGTTTATGAAGATATCATCTATGGCATAGAGGAAATTAAGTCAAAAACGTCGCGAAACAAGGTGCGCATGGTCAGTGACATAGCGGCGCAAGAAGATAATGAGTACATTTGGATAGATACCTGCTGCATCGACAAAAGCAGCAGTGGGGAGCGTTCGAGTGTCTGCCACGTCTGTAGTGCGGTCATGATCGAAGTACTATCTCGTCGACATCGGTGTGGAGAAAATCAAGCGCTCTCCGCAGGCCTCTGAGAGGGTGTTTGGAGCTTATGAAGTCGCTACTGGGTCTGGGCTGCGAAATGGACAGAGCACGGCGTCGGCATGTCCTGCTGATCTATCTATGGAAGAAGAAGAGGGCGAAAAGAAAGTCAAGCATAAAAGGTCGCGATGACGACTGGCTAAGTGATAAGAAAAGTAAGCAAGACATGCTAAAAAGCAGGCAGTTGGACTGAGGATGTAAGCAAGAACGAGCTTGACTGCTTGCTTGTGACTAAGCAAAAACCCTGCCTCACGACCACCCCCCCTGCCTACTAATTACCCAACTTCTAAAGCGATTTTCTTAACGAATACATTATTCGCAATGCTTTTTTTAATGTTTTTAATTAGATCTATTATTTTTAACCTTAATAACCTCTTTTATATTAATATCCTTATATTTTAAAATATATTAATTAATAATTTTATTAATATATATTAAATAATTATATAATTTATATTTTACCTTTTATATATATATTATATAAATAAAGTTATTATTAAAACCTATTTTAATTAATTTTTATTTAACCTTAATATTTTTTTAAAGTTTAACTTTTAATACTTTAATCTTTATTTATAAAAATGTAATAATTTTAACCTTTTTATTAAAGGCTTTATTAACCTTTATAAAAAATAGCTTTTATAATAAATTATTAAATAAAGAAAAAGTTTAAGTTAATTTTTATATATTAATTTATAATTATTAACTTTTAAAAGGTATTTTAATTATAATTTTTAAAGCTATTTTTAATAAATTAAATATAATAAATTATTTTTTAATTATAAATATTAATATTATTATTATTTTTATAATACCTTTCTTTTTAAATATTATATATTTTAAAAATAATAATATTTATTAATTTTTTAAATATATTTTAACTATTTTTTATACTTTTTTTAATGTATTTAACTTTATTATATTTTTATATAACGCATCTCCCACTTAACCTAGCCACCCAATTAAGCTGGCCACCCCCCTAGCCTATATAAAAAACATCGGTGCACTAATCACGTGATAATTTAATAACTCTACAAATACTAGTTATATAAAATAATAAAATACACCATTAGATTTATAATAATAATGGCTATTTAACAGTACCTTCCATTAGTTTATATAACTTATATTTATAGAATTATTAACCAATATATTAAAGTAAGCGTTAAAATAATCCTTGCTTAACGCCCCTTTAATATATTATTTAATATCTTACTTAATAAATTTTATAAAAAATAGTAAAAAATACCTTTAAATTCCTCTTTAATTAATAGATTTAAAGGTATTAATTATTAAATCGTATAATTAATATTTATAAAGTTATTAAAAATTAAAATAATAAGGTTTTATATAGGTTATTAGGGTAGCCAGGTTAATTAGGTGGCCAAGTTAAATAGGAAATGCGTTATAGCTTTATATATTATTAATATATTTTTTTTAAAAAGCTTTATATTTAAATATTTTATAAATATTTTTTATAGTTTATTTTTTAGCTTTTTCTTTAATAAATTAAAAATTTTAACATTTAATAATTATAATATATAATTATAATAAGGTTTATAAAATAAAAGCTAAATTTTATTTAAAAGGTAAATTTAAAAAAACTTATTATTAATATATAATTTATAACTATTATATATTAATATATATTATATATTATTATATATTATATATTATTATAATAGCTTTAAATATAAAGTATAAAAAGGTTTTATAATTATTTTAATATTATAAAATTATTAATTTATTTATTAAATAAATATTTAAAGTATTAACGCATCTCCTATTTAACCTAGCTACCCAATTAACCTGGCCACCCCAATAACCTATATAAAACCCCATTATTTCAATCTTTAATAACTTTACGAATATTAATCGTACAATTTAATAATTAGTACCTTTAAATCCATTATTTAAAGAAGAATCCAAAGGTATTTTTTACTATTTTTTATAAAATCTATTAAGCAAGATATTAAGCAATACGCTAAAGGGGCGTTAAGCAAGGATTAATTTAACGCTTACTTTAACGTATTGCTTAATAACTCCGCAAATAAAAATCGTAAAAATTAATAAAGGGTACTATTAAGTAGCTCTTTTTATTACAAATCTAATAGTATATTTTATTATTTTATACAATTAATAGTTATAAAGTTATTAAATTATTACATAATTAACGCACCGATGTTTTTTATATGGGCTAAGGGGGTGGCCAGGTCAAGTGGGAAATGCGTTAATCTTTAAATAAGTTTTAATTTTAATTTAAAAATTATTAACTTTATATTTATATACTTTTTTAAATTATTAATAATATTAATAATTTTAAAAATAATAATTTATTTACCTTTTTTAATAGCTTTTTTAAAAGTTTAATATAAAATAAAATTAATAATTATTTAATAATTATTATTAATACCTTAATTTATACCTATTTTATTAATATTATAAAAATAGTTAAAAAGGATATTTATAATTTTTAAAGCTTTAAAGTAATTAAAAAAAAGGTTAATATTAATTATTATTATATTATTAATATATATAACGCATCTCCTACTTAACCTGGCCACCTAATTGACCTGGCTACCCCTTTAGCCTATATAAATAACATCGGTGCGCTAATCACGTAATAATTTAATAACTTTATAAATATTCATCCTATAAAATAATAAAATATACTATTAAATTTATAATAAAACGAACTATTTAATAGTACCCTTTACTAATTCTTACAACTTATATTTGCGGAGTTATTAAGCAATACGTTAAAGTAAGCGCTAAATTAATCCTTACTTAACGCCTCTTTAACGTATTGCTTAATATCTCGCTTAATAAATTTTGCAAAAAATAGTAAAGAATACCTTTAGATTCCCCTTTAACTAACGGATTTAACGGTACTAATTATTAAATTATACAATTAATATTTATAAAGTTATAAAAGATTAAAATAATAGGGTTTTATATAGGTTATTAAGGTAGCCAGGTTAATTGGGTAGTTAGGTTAAATGGGAAATACGTTATAATTAATAAATTATAATTTAATTAATTTAACTTTATTATTTTAAATTAAAAAATATATATATTATTCTTTTTTAAAGCTTTTATTATTGTTTAAAGCAATTAATATATATTTAATTATAAGTTTAAACTTAAAAAGTAAAGGTATAAAGCTTAATTTAACCTACTTTATTATTTAATTTATTAATTAATATTTATAATAAGTTAATAAAGCTTAAAGGTTAATATAAGTTTATTTTTTAATAAAAATACTTTAAAGCTAATAATATAAATATAATTTATTAATACTTTAAATATATATTATTATTTAAATTAAGGTTTTAAATTAAACTATATAAATAATAATTATAATATAATAATTTTTAAAATTAAAAGATATAATAATAAAGAAAAGTTAATTTTAAATAAAATAATGGTAAAAAGTTATTATAAAACTTAAACGCGGTTGCATTATTAAGTAGTGTTTAATTAGGTGGTTGGGAGTCAAAGCGCGTTTTAAGGTACCTAGGGCCCTAGTCGTGACGGGGGGTGGTTGTGAGGCAGGGTTTTTGCTTATAATTCAGACCTACGAATCGAAGAGAGACGAGACATTTGTGAGTTATCGGATATAATTTGATATTCTTTACTTGCCTGAGTATGTTAGTTGAAACAACAATTCGATGACCTGTGCTAGCTCGCGATCTCATTTTTACGTTTAGTACCCAGCCTGGGGAAGTTGAAGGGGCGTGTCAGATAATGTGGCAGGTTGGTCACGGATTTTGCTATCAGTAGTCTTCTAGCACGAAATGATAAATGCATTTTGTGTATATGCCTACTACACTGAGCCAGTACGCTGCTGCTATCGGCTTTTGGTGGCTCTGAGGACGCCAGTGGCCAGCCCGTGATCCTGTTTCCCCCAAGGATCGCCACGTGCGACTTAGGTACCACCTCTCTCTGCAATCACACTGACTATACTGCGCTAAATATCGCATCCGGCCATAGCTGTTCTCTGCCCCTGTTGAACGTAGTGGAGCTATATAATAATCGTTAGACCGCTCGAACGTCTAACGGCGTCGTTTTTAACGTTCGAGAGCCCCATCCCAAATGTTGTTTTTTATTAGCCAAGAACACAATTGGATGTTATGACTCTCTACGTTGCTGCTTAGAGTCGTCTAATCAAAAGACAGATCACTATTTTAGGCAAATAACAATTGCCTTTAAGGGCCAGATAAACATCTGGAAACAAGGGCACTATTGACTTTAACTTAATGTGCTTATATTGCTATTAAAAAGTTCGTGTTTATTCGTATACTAATCTGTGTGGAAATGTGAAGGATCAGCTAGCATATATGCGTACTGGGGATGTTTGTGTCAGTGGCAGCGCTATAGGAGAGTGTTGAAATGGACCCTACACCAGACTAGATGTCGTATGCCATTAACTCTCAGATAACTCATCTTCAAGGGGTGTCCTACTAGAATCTAAACTCTTTAGGCAAAAGGCGCTGCTATTAAACCAGCCAACTACCTATAAACCCAACCGAAAGGGGAGGTGTTCGACGTCATCACTTATCTCTATGCTGTACCATGTAAAACCAAGTCTCATTCCAGCGACAATTTGCCAAGAAGAATTAATATTTACAATACCTACAAATATAGCTAGTAGCCAATCAAAACTAAGGAGCTATGTATCAGCACATAAGGATGTGTCGAGTAGGTACTTCAATTCTAGCTGAAAACTCCCCATGCCGAAGATTACTGACCTATCTTACGCTACATACATATAAAGAGTACTATAAGAGTGATCAGACAGACTGGTATTAGCCTCCCCTGTTAATCTAATAGTGCCCCAAGTTTTTGCAGGTAGAACCTTTTAGGGAGTACTTTACTTTATAGAAATAACTAATTAACCGTATAACCCCTTCGTTAAGTAAGTTTTACAAATTTATTAACTGTAATCCCTTTACCTTCGCTGCCTTTGCTGCCTTCGTAAGGCCCGTTGCAAACGACCTTCTAGATACCTTTAACTTTAACAACGAAGGCCTTCGCGTACGACCATTATGTTATGCCATCTACGTTATACTACTTGCGAAGATAGGTAGCTAGACCTTTAACCCCTGCGCTGACCTACAAATATGCATATAATTTTGAGATTTCTATAACGTAAAGTACCCCCCCAAAAAATCTACCTGCAAAA